TCCCTACCAGCTCTGCACTTACAAGTACTGCTCAACACAGACACATACTGCAGAACACACATGGGGAGGGGGGGAAATAAAAATAAAAAATAAAAAATAACCAAACATGCTTTATTTTCAAGAACAAAAAGCTTAAGCTTTGTCCATCATGACAGAAAGTAAAACAAATGTAAGGATTTTCACTAAAATATGGCACACAGTATAAATAAGGCTCAGAAGCTTGATATTTACTATTCTTTCAATGATAGGAAAATTAATACGTATCAGCTGAAACTTCAATTTCATGATGGACATTTTCAAGCATGCACAGATAAAGTTTCCTATCTTGCATCGTGCCTCTCTCTACAAATACCTTACAGTAGGACAGGAGGCCTGCAGAAGTCTTCTGTCAAAGGAAAAGAAAAATAATTCATGAACTAAAAACAAACATGCAGGACTGGTGAATATATGGCACATCAGAAATTACCAACATAGAAAAGTAGACAACCCTGCCCTAACTTCAACAGCATTTATAAGAGAGATTTATTACTAAGAGAAGATTTCATTCATCCAGGAAATGAATGTCAACTCATGGCAAAAAGTAACACATATAGTCCCATTGTCAGGCCCTCTCACACAGGTCGATTCCCTAAGCAAATGCTTAAATGTTGGCAATGCACATAACCTTTCCTGAACACATCCAGATCACCACCTGACATTTGGCTCAGACACTTTCATATACCTGCTCAAACTATCCTTAGGGAAACTCAAGGCTATTTTTTCACTCAAGTAGCACACACCGGACCATCAACTTTTAAGAGAATTTGTCTCAGTTACTGACTTCTCCTTTGGTGCCCTGGAGAGACCATCATCTACCAGTAGCAGAGCTCTGGAAAAAAATAATGCAGCTGGAAGCCTAGGTTCATCAAACTGCAGACAAATAACCTCCTTCAGCAAGGAGCGTTTCTGGTTCCCAGTCTTTGCAATACACTAGAGAAACAGAAAGACATGTAGTATGACTTTACAATGTTGAGAAACATCTTACATACCAATTGCTGATGAGCAACAAGACCAGTGACTAACTTCCATTGCCCTTGCCATGCTGTTTTCATCAACAGCACTCGTCTAATTTTATAGAAGTTCTCTGTTAGTATAACTGGAAATCCTCAAGTCTACCAGGTTGATGTTTTCCTCTCCCTTGGTAGCACCACACACAGCTCTGAGTTAGCATTCGTATGTCTTTTCTAAGTGTTGGCATACTCTTAATACACCCATATTGCAACTGGAAGCGGCCTCTTGATCCATAATCAGCACTTTGACACTTGGGCTACCTGTAATAATTACAGATTTGTCCATTTTATCTACACACAGGGTCCATATTATGTCCCATTCTGAGCTCCTCAGTTCAAGGGGGATAGGGATTTACTTGAGAGAGTCCAAAAGAGGGCTATGAAGATGATTAAGGGACTGGAACACCTGTTTTATGAGGAAAGGCTGAGACACCTGGGGCTGTTTAATCTAGAGAAGACTAAGAGGGGATCTTACTAATGTATATAAAAATCTGAAGGGTGGGTGTCAAGAAGGAAGGGCCAATCTCTTTTTAGTCATGCCCTGTGATAGGACAAGGCACAATGGATGCAAACTGGAACACAGGAAATTCCACCTCAACGTGAGGAAAAACTTCTTTACTGTGAGGGTGATGGAGCACTGGGACAGGCTGGCCAGAGAGGTTGTGGAGTTTCCTTCTCTGGAGACTTTCAAGACATATCTGGATGTGTTCCTGTGTGACCTGCCTTAGTCGGCCCTACTCTGGCAGAGGAGTTGGACCGTATGATCTCCAGAGGTCCCTCCCAAGTCCTAACATTCTACGATTCCATGATTCTATTGGTGGGAGTGAAGACTCCACAGTTGGAAACAGAACAAAAAAGTCTACATTTCCAAGAGGCTTCAGAAAGAACTGCATTCCCGTTCCAGAGCATGTTTTTGTTATGGCTATCCCATTTCAAAATCTTTTGAAAAAAAGGTATTTTCCAAGCTTAAGATGCTCAATAGACTATTTAACCCAAAACAATGAGAAACTGAATCCCAAGATGCAACTGTGAAGTATTCAAAGTTCTTTCCCTCCACACTTTGAGTTAATTAGGTAGCTCTCAAAAAAACCCAAGGAGAACCAAATGACTGAAGGTAGGGCATTGCTGGTCCTCAAGTCTTGCAAACACAGAGGAACAGCTAGTCAAAGATGTTGCAATGAGAGTGTTTTGATAAGAAGATTTCACCAGCAGTGTGCAAGAAAGCTTCAGTCTTTACATTACCATGCAAAGCTTGAATGAGAGGCAGTAACATCTGTATTATTTCCTCTGATGATTGAAGAAAATTACAACTTGAAGTTTTCCCATTCAGCTTTAATGGACTCAGTTTTCCCATAAGACTTCTCTACCTCATGAAGATATCCAGGAACTCATTCTGCTCAAAGTTCTTATACTAAAGACTCCATACATCTATGTGGTAAAAAAAAATACAATTCCCATTCTTTCCCTTACCGTGAAGAGAAATCCAGTCTAGTGATTTTTAGGCTAAGAAACATATTTGCAAGGTTTCTGTCAAATGAAAGCAGATATTTAATGCTTGTTTAATTTTTTGTGATGATGCCTGAGTCGATCCAATTCCTTCTGAAGAAAATACATAATAAGAAAGAATATTTGGAAAAGTGGCTCCTAGAAAAAGTAATCAGATTTCTCTGCAGGAAGACAAGATTAAACTTTGCCTGCAATCTGCTGAGATTTCTTGCATTGTAAAATTGAGATTGATGTAGAAAGTGAATAAAGCACTATGAGCTATTCAGGCACAAAAAATAAATGCCTTGTCCCAAGAAACTTGCAGCTGTGTTAAAAGCCAAAAGAAGGGAACTTTCAGACAGACTAACA